GGGGGGGAGACACACACACACACACAGATGCCCTGACCCAGCTCTGCCCTCGGGTGGAGGTGATGAGGAAAGTGGGAGGCCCAGGGCCCTCAGCGCGGGACCCCGGGGCTCCCCAGGCGCCGCCGAACCTGGCTCACCTTCGAAATCCCCTGCAGGCCCTAGAAACCCTTTGCCTGCAGAGGGAAGGCCACCCCTCCCCCATGCCAAGTCTCAACTGCTGTCGGAAGTTTCTGCATTAAAACGTGTACAGGCGTGCATATTTGTGAACCTGTGCAACTGTGTGTGTCTGCCACAAGGAGAGGTATCCTCCCCTTACTCCAGACTCCCTAGCTCCTGTGCTTCTCCGCAGCGCTTGTCCCTCACTTAACAGGAGTCCACATCGCTCTCCCCCGCCACTAGGCCAGGCGTGTGTGTACATACATGTGTGCGTGCGTGTATATTTGCACACATGCTAATGGGTTTGTGTACATGTGGGAATGATCGCATAAGGAGAGTGACCTTTCAAGGGTCATTGTGTTTATAGATGGAGGGACACGTGTACGTGGCTGTGCACACTGGTGAGCTCGTGTACAAAAATGTACACTTCTTCCAAAACTCCACATTCATGCTCAGCGCCCGAATGCTTCACCCCTTCCTCTGCCCCAGGCCAGGAAGGGAGATTCCCCAACAAAGGGGGAGAGGAACTCAAAGGTGAGCTCCACCCCTCCCCCTAGCCAGTTCCTAGAGCCCCCAGCAGCCTGTCCCTGCTCAGGCGAGGAGTGGCTTGTGGATGCCTGGCTCCCTACAGGTGTTGACAGGCGGGCCTGGGTTGCTGCGTGGGGCCCGGTCCGCTGGGAATCTGGGTCACCCAGTGAGGAGCTGATTCATTGTTTGTACCAGTCATGGGGTGGGGAGCAGCAGGGGGAGGGGGAGATACCCAAGGGAAATTTGGGGAATCATGGCTCACCTGCTCCTGAGTCCGCAGGTCACCCCCAGGAGCCAGCTCCAGAGCGCTCACGGGTGCTCACGTTCATGGGGCATTTACCTGGGTGCCTCTGTGCGCGTGTGTATCTTCATAATCTGGTGTCTGAGTGTGATGCTGTGAGTGGGCACATTCCTGCACATGGAGATGCTTATGTGGGTGTGTGTTTGTCTCTGTGGATCTATGCGCCTCTGCTTATGAGTTTCTAATGTGAACAAAATGCCATGAACTGCCCCTCCCCCACCTCATGGGCTGCCTTTTATTGAGTGCTTACTATATACCAGGTGACCTTAAGTTCTTTATCCGTCCAAACTTATTTGAGCCTCATGATGACCCTATGAAGGAGGGGCTGTCAGCATCCCCACTTTGCAGATGGGGAAGGCAAGAACCAGAGAGGTTAAGTAACTTGCCCAAGGTCACACGCTTAGCAAGCGGCAGAGCGGACTTTGGACCCAGGCAGTGGAATGTTCCTCACTGCGTTCTTTTTTTTTTTATTTTTTTTTTATTTTTTAAAGATTTTATTTATTTATCTGAGAGAGAGAATGGGAGACAGAGAGCATGAGAGGGGAAGGGTCAGAGGGAGAAGCAGACCCCCTGCCGAGCAGGGAGCCCGATGTGGGACTCGATCCCAGGACTCCAGAATCATGACCTGAGCCGAAGGCATTCGCTTAACCAACTGAGCCACCCAGGCGCCCCCCTCACTGTGTTCTATCCCAGATAGAAGAAAGATGCTGGCCCTGGGTCAGACACCTGGGTTTTGCCTGGATCTTGTGTGTAACGTGGGGTGCTGGACTTGTCTTCTCTAGGCTGGGTCTCCTTGGGGTTTTCACTAAGCATCCTGAGAGGCTAACTCACTCCCCCTTTGCTGCACGCCCTCCCACGCAGGTGAAGATTTGGTTCCAGAACCGCCGCTCCAAATTCAAGAAGCTCTACAAGAACGGGGAGGTGCCCCTGGAGCATAGCCCCAACAACAGTGATTCCATGGCCTGCAACTCACCGCCGTCCCCCGCCCTCTGGGACACCTCCTCCCACTCCACTCCGGCCCCTGCCCGAAGTCAGCTGCCCCCGCCACTCCCGTACAGCGCCTCCCCGAGCTATCTGGACGACCCCACCAACTCCTGGTACCACGCACAGAACCTGAGTGGACCCCACTTACAGCAGCAGCCGCCTCAGCCGGCCGCCCTGCATCACGCCTCTCCCGGGCCCCCGCCCAACCCTGGGGCTGTGTACTGAGCCCCCACCTGGCCTGAGCCTCCCACGAAGGACCCGGGACCAGGCAGAAGGCGTCTCCGTCCTAGCCGACACTCAGGAATCATCGAGGAGCACAGGGGGGACAAGGCACCTCTTTCCCCCTTCCCTTGCCCCTTCCTCCAGGGACCCAAGAGCTTCCAGATGAAATTTGCATGGACCAAGGATGTCCCCTGAACCTCCCTCCCCCTGCCTAGGCACTGGGGTCTCCCTCCAGATGTTGGGGCACTCCACTCCAGCTGGGACAGCCGTTCCCCTCCTGCTCCAGGAGCCTGGATTGGCTTTCAATGGCCCATCGCCTTCCAGCTTCTAAAACTTAGTGCTCGTTCCACAGACTGGAGACCTTGGGGACCAGGGAGACCGCGAAGCTTTTGCAAGTCAGGCCTGGGCCGGGGCACCAGGCACCATGGATGCCAGGTCAGGCCTGGTCCCTCCTAAGCCACCTGTGGCTCCCCACTTCCTGAGCATCCGCTCTGCCAAAAAGACATTGGACATCGTGACCAGGACTCAGGGTGGGGACGTCAGGCAGCCCCCAACCCGCACTTCTAACCCTCATTTCAGATTTGAGGGTTAAACCAAAGAACCCCCCTGCCCCCGCCAAGTGAGGGAATCGTTTAATATCTGTGGCTTTAGAGGGAAGAACTCAAGGAGCCATCTCTCTCCTCTCTCCCCCTCTGATGGGAGAGGGGCGGTGGGTCTCAGGTGTCTTTCCTAAGGACCCATTTCTTCTTTCGTGTACAGGACTTTGCACAACTTTGGTTTTAAAAGCTGTTGAAAACTAGGAAAACAAAGGGCATTGTTACCAGATAGGACCAGTCTCCCCTGCATGGGCACCTCTGCTCTGCTCCACCCCCACCCACCTCTTCCTCTCCTCCAGTAAGTTGGCAGTTTGGGCGCCAAACCCCAAATCTCCAAGGAAACATGCCAGGCAAGAGAAACCCCAAAACATCCCCTTTCCAGTGACTTTGGAAACAGATTGCTCCCGCAGATGGAGAATGGCGGGTGAGGTGCACGGGGAGAGGGGAGGGCGACAGCTCCTTGCCTTTAGTGCCTTTAGGGGTGAGGGGGTGGCTGTCTGGAGGGCTGGTAGCGCCGCCCCTCCTTGGCCCAGATTCCCCCCAGAGCTAACCTTCCTCCACCCTGATGTGGTCAAACATTGAAGAAAAGGGGAGGTGGAAGACTAGCTATATATATAGTATGTATTTTTTTTTTAAAGAGCAACAGAGAGAAGCAGCCTCCTCCCTACTGTGGTTTCCTATTTATGTGGCCCTTTCCTCCTGGATGTACCTGCCTGTGCGTTGTGAGCAGAGAGAAACGGGGATGTGGGCTCCGGCTGGGTTTGGGTTTGGTGGGATGTGCGGGAGCAAGGAGAGACGAGGTAGATCTCAGAGTCGCACCCGAGGGGGGCAGGAACGAAGCCGACTCCTCCCAGCCTTCTCATTTCTGCTTTCTTACTGGATCCATCTTTATATATAACGTTAATAAAAAAGAAGAAAATAACCACTGAGCTCTTTGAACTGGAGGCTGGGGGCTGGAGGCTGGAGGCAGACAGCTCTTGGGGAGGGCCTGGGAGTTGGGGAAGGTGCTGGACGCAGAGAGGCCTCTGAGCCTCCAGGGGCTCGTGGGGGACTCAGAGCCCTGAGGATCCACTACTGGGACTCTGGGCTCCAGGGCTGGGCTGGGCCCGGCCCCTGGTGGCAGGTGCTCCTGACCCTGTGGCTGCCCCCGACTTGGGCAGGTCTGGGTGGGTGGGAGGCTCCCAGCCGTGGCCTCCTTGACTCCACTCTGCTTGGCGGCTTGGGGTTCCCTGCCAGGCAGCTGCCTGCCGCCGCCACCAGGTCACCTCAGGGCTGCTCTTTGATCTTGGGCTCACACGCAGACATGCTTGCACACGCGTGTAAACCCCCAGCCTCCACACCCAGGCACTCCCCAGTCCCTCACTCTCTGGTCTGTCCCTTCCAGCTTGGGGTGAGGGTGGGGCCTCAGGCAGGGGGAACACCACTGCCCACCCAGCTGGCAGGGACCCCAGCCCATGCTGGGGAAACAAGCGGGACGAGGGAAGCAAACAGACGGAGGGGGTTCTGTGTTTCCCTTCTCAGGCTCAGTCCTGACTCCGAGCCCTCTTGCTACTGCCCCCCCACCCCCGCCCCGCCCCGCGGCCCACCGCCTGGGCCAGCATTGCTCCCACCTCTCCCCTTCTAGCTGCTCACTTCCAAGACTGGAGCCAGGGAGCTGGAGGTGCTAGCATGAAGGGAGGGGTGTGAGTGACACATGTTGGTGCAGCTGGGAGACAGTGTGAATGCATGCACACGCTTGTGAGCTACCTTTCTCCCATATACACACGTACTGAGACACAGGGCGACATCTCTCCCTCCTCACACCTACATGGACTCCCACTTGAGCCAGACACACACACACACACACCTGAGACCCCCAACACACAGGTGCACAAACACACATCCATCACATCACCCCAGAGTTATGCACAGGTACGCGCCCGCGCACACAACGAGCCCGAGGCAGCTCCCTGTACTGGAAAAAGTCTTGGATTGAGAATCAGCAACACCACCCAGCAGCCGAGGTGACCCAGCTCAGCCTGAAACCTCCCTGTGAGGCCCTCAGTTTCCTCATCTGTCGAATGGGGACAGCGAGCCCCGCCCTGTTGGCCTCTGGGGCTATTGTCAGGCACCAAGCCCAATACAAATGAGAAGTCAGAAGGAAGGGTCTCTCAGGCTCACCCGAGGACCTGGGTAGACCGCAGTCCCGGGCACCTGGCCTGGGGGTTCCCCGGACTGGGCTCCAGAAGGGCGGGGAGCCCCCGCCCAGCCCCCCTGCACCCCTCTCCCCCTCTCAGGAGGCCGGCCTTCCCTCCCCCAGGCCTGAGGGAGGCGGAAGGGAGGAGGGCCTTCCGCCCACAGACGCCAGCCTGGCTGGCAAAGGGTTAAGTGGTAGCTGCCAGGCGGGGCTGCGCTGAGCAGTTTGGTTTGAGGGCTGCGTGCAGGCAGGAGCAGCGAGGCGGCAGCCGGGCAGACTTGCTGGAGACACTGCATTTTATTAGGGCTGGGCTGCCAGCAAAGGGAGGGAGAGGGAAAAAAAAGGGCAGAAAGAGAGAGGAAGGAAGGAGGAGGCTGGGCAGGCAGGCTGGCGGGGCGGGCTGCTGCGGGATGAAAGGCTGTTGTAAGCTCCCTAATTCCTCCCTGCTCATCCCTGCTCTGTCAGGCTGGATTAACTGCCCGGGTGACCTCCCGTGGGGGGTCAGCCCCACCCCTGAGCTCCCCTTCCTCCTCTCCTCACCTCGGGGGGCCACTCAGCTCGCCCTCCTCACTGGCCCTGGGCAGGGGGCGCAGAGAAAGGGCTTGGGTGGGGGGACATGGCAGGGTGCCAGGGTGGGGCCGCTGAGCCCATCTTTTGCCAGGTGCTTGCCTCGTGACAAGCTTCGGGGAAGCGGTGGGGCGGGGGGCGCTGCATAGGGAACCCCAGTCTGCCCTGGGGTCACTGTTCTCCAAACCTCAGGAACAGCTGATGATCGCTGCAGTCCTACTCTGTGCCAGGCATTTGGCATGGGACCCTCCCAACTCTGTGCCAGGCACTTGGCGGGGGAGGTGGGTGATAGGGTACCCATTCTTCAGATGGGGAAATTGAGGCTCAGAGAGGTTCAGTCTCTGTCCAGATCACATAACTAATATGTGGCGATGCTGGGATTTGCACCCGGGTCTGTCTGGAGATTGGGTGCTCTTAATGGGCTTTTCTGCCGCTCAGTTTACTAAGGCGCCCCGGGGCAGAGCGTCAGGGAGCTGGAGCCTGCCGCCGCCTCCGCCACTCCACCCACCCCAGCCCGCCAGCCCTCCTCCCCGGGCTCTTCCCTGGAGGAGAAGTGGAGGGGGGGAGGGGCTGGTCCGAGGAAAAGCTTAAGGCTGTGGTCAGGAATGTGGTGCTGGAGTCAGCTGACCTGAACTGAATCCTGCCTCCACCACTTCACAGGCTGGGTGATCTTGGACAAGTCACTTTAACCTCCTAAGCCTCAGTTTCCCCATCTGTAATGTGGGGATAATGCTACCTGCCTAGTAGGGTTGTTGAGAGGATTAAATAGGATAATGTGAGTAAAAGGCTTAACAAACAAGGTACCCAGCACATGGGGAGTACTGCTCAGTTAATGGGAGTTGCTGTTGACGAGGGTGGATGGTGAGGATGGTGATGGGGGTGGGGAGAAGGGGCTGAGTCCCCACCTTGCTTCCTGCCCCCAATTCAGACCCGAGCCGCTGGCTACCCTTGATCCAGCCATCTCGAAGAGGAGTCAGTGCGCTCCCCAGAGGAGTAAATCAGCCAGTATTTATTGCCAGTTCCAGGAGCTGGTAAAACGGATGCCCAGAGTCTGGGGAAGGGAGGCACACACGGGACCAGCCGTGGAGAGGCCCCCAGCAGGGCAGACCTGACGCGGTCCGGGAGGACCGGAGGGGCTGTCAGGGAAAGGGCAGGGCCGTGGGTGGGAAGGAGTCCTTCCAAGGCTCCATGGAAGAGGTAGCATTTGAATTATGCCCTGAAAGAAGGATGACAGCCTGATAGGCAGAGCTGGGGCCTGGAAACATACTCCTTGGAGCAGCAGCTATGGAAGAATGGAAGAACTCCCCTTCCAGGACTCAGGGTGGAGAGGAAGAAGGCTCAGGCGAGAGCTCCAGGCTGGGGAGAGGGCTGCTGAAGGAAGGGGCGGCCGGGATCCAGAAAGTCCCTAAGCCCTTCTCCGGATGCTGGGCTCAGAGAAGGGCAGGGTCTGGCAGTTCCCAGCCAATCGGATGTGCTGGTAGCAGCCCTGACGCTGTGAACTTGGGGAAAGGAAGCTCCTTGCCCCCTATTGGAGAGGAGACACCTCTGGCCCTTCTCTATCCCTATCCCCAACGCCCCTCCCTTCACGGGGTCCTGGGCAGGAGATCCTAGAGCTCTCACGCCCGCTCGGCCTGCTTACACCATTCACCTCGGCAACACACCATCACTACCACTTGCTCCCCAGTCTAGGGGAGCCCCCAGACCTCAGTGCGGAAGGGGGTTCTGAACAGCTGAGATAGGACCCCTAGTGTGCAACCTCCCAGCCCCTAGGTGAGGGTTGGCAAAGGCAGGCTGAATGAGTTGCAGCCTCAGAGGGGATGGAAGAGGAGGGGAGGGGAGGCAGAGGGGAGAACAGAGAGGGGAGGAGAACGGAGGGGGGAGGAGAAGGGGGCGCCTGCTGCCAGCACCCTGGCCTCTGTTTTTCCAGCTTTAATTGCAGCGTTAATCACCTTAATAAGCTGTTTACCAGCCACCCAGCAGCCTGAGACTGGGAGACTTAGCAGCCAGAAAGTGCTTGGAGATGAGTTTCCTGCAGCCCCAAGGGAAGGGGAGGCAGCGCTGACTGGGGGACCCTGGGCGGGGGCGGGGGGGCTTGGGGCAGAGGGGGCAGGTGGGGGCTGGTGGAGAAGGCTGAGGCCAGGGGGTCCAGAAGGCCAGCCTCCAGCTCTTCGTAGAGGCCCAGGCCCCTTCCACAGAAGCCCTGGAGTCAGCTCCTTGGGCTAACCTTTTCTGACACCCAGCCTGGGTCCCTGGCACCCCACCTTTCTCCTTTGTCAGGACCGACAGGGTGACTTCCCAGGACCCAGTTCCCAGTTCTGTGGAGGCATCTGTGCATCTCGCCGGCATGGACACCGTAAATATTTTGTCCACCCTGGGCTGGAGGGCAAGCGGACGTCTTTATACCAAGGTCCCTGGAGGCAGAGCTGGGAGAGGATCTGAAGCGGGGGTGCGGGGGGGGCGAGGGCAGGGACTTGGGCATGTTCCCCGGAACGGGACGCACCCCCCCTCCAATGCCCAGCACAGGCAGGATGCCCAGTGAGCATTTGGGGGGGGCCTCACACAAACCCTCTCGGCTATGGTTCCTGCTCCCAGCAGATGAGGGTGAGCCTAAGACCTGTCCCCGTCTTTCAGCTCCTGGGGGTTCAATGAGGGGGAAGCCCAACACCCAACTGCTGCTCCCCAGCCAGCGCAGGAGCTGACGGGGATTGTACACACACACACACACACACACACACACACACACCCGCCCCGGCACATCATCTCCTCGAATTGTTGGGAAGCAGCCCCAGAGAGACCATGTGACTTGCCCAAGGTCACACAGCAAAATGCGGGGCAGTGCTAAAGAGTGCCTGTGGGGGCTCCCCTGCCTATAAGCTGGCCACAGCTGGACAGGCACTACTAAGTGGGCTCTGAAACCCTGGCCTCCAGACTGCAGAACCAAGAATGTTCTCTGGACGACAAGTGGGTCAGAACTAATGATCGGAGCAACCACCTCCCAGGGGCTGCGATGGGTCCAGTCCACTGGCTGGTGAATTTTGGAAGCTCCTGCTGGGGGTGGGGGTGGGGGGGAGTATGAAATTGGCCTGTTGGGCCCCTTGGAGTCCTGAAAAGCTCGGAGGCCCTGGAAGCACTTGGGAAGAGTCTGGAGTCTGGGGGCTGGTCTGCCTAAGGTT